CCACCAGCAGGCTTGCCTCCAACTAGTTCTTCCCCACACATGATTTGCAAGTTGTTTTCCACTCAAACAAATATGGGACATGAACACCCTGCCCTCAGTAACAGTGGCAACTGGGTGGTAAGGAAGGGTATCCCTGCTCCCCAGTTAGGAATTACCCACCAAGCCCATGCTCTGTGCTTAACTACAATAGTCCTCAGGCTAAGCCAATACATGAGTCCTTCTGTTCCTTCCAAAGTACTCCATGCCTGAGAGACTTTTCAAACAAAGTTTCTACCAGGCTTGTGAAAGAGAATTCCAGCTCTGCTCCCCAACTCCCAGTACATCCCAAACAGGTGACGAGAGAGGAGGGGGAAATGAGACCTGTGGCCAAAGGGGGGGAGGCTGTGGGATGAAGGCCATCACCTTGGCCAGGTGGGCACTGATGCCACTTACCACTCCGGTCTGCTGCGCCCCCTCGCATGATCCTGGCCACCACAACAGCCCCTGAGTGCTCATCCCGCCGGATGGTGGCACCCTGTATCAGCGACAGAGCAGGCAGGATCCTCAGCACCCCCAAACCTCAGATTCCAACACTCTGGACCCAACAGAGCCTCCCCATCCCTCCCTCTGTCATCCCAGAGGGCAGATCAGTGGGGACCTTTCCAATACTGAGGGCAAAATAAAACTGACATCTCTTATTAATAGAGCACAGCATTTTACAGTTTAAACAAAGCACAGTAACACAGTGCCAATCTCATTTTGGAGAAGAGGGACAGGGGCCCAGAGAAGGTAAGGATCCTCAAGGTCACCCAGCCGAGAAGGAGTAAAGCTTTTCGTGATGCTGAATCCAGAGTTTTCCCTAGCACACCACAGCCCCTGCCTCTTGCAAAGACATTTAATAATGAGGAGAGTATGTGCAAGCAAATTCTCATCCTGCCTCCAACCAATCACAGGGCTACCGGGCCTTCTGTTGCCAAAGGCAATCAATTATGCCCCAGCCAGAGCTTCGGGACTAGGACTTGGTCCATGAAGCACAGAAGAGAAGCTCTCGAGGGTGAGGAAGGCCTAACGAGCCCTCAATTTCACGCACCGCGCAGGCTGGACAGGGTAGCAGTCAGGTCAGGAGCTAAGCTCCGGAGTTGGACAGCCCTGGGTTGGAATACACTCTGCTGTTTACTAAAAGCACGAGGCCTTAGCAAGAAAGCCCCTTATCCTCTCTGGGATAACCTTTAACTCACGGGGTTGTGCAAGGATTACATCAGGTAATACATGCAAGGCGCTTAGCACACAGTAAGAGCTCAATAAATGCTGTTTATTATTGGCTATAACTGCAAACACATCAGTGCACTTATTTTTAACTTCGTTCGTGTCATTTGAAGTACGTAAGATAAATATTGCTGGAAAGAGAGGCCATTCTCTGAGAACCCTGTGGTTTCTTGCCCCCAGACCTTCATGCTTTCCAGCGTCTGTGTCCATCCTTTCCTCCTTCCCCCATTTCAGCGGAGGGGCTCCTCCTATCTGGCCTGGTCCCCCTGCCTCTCCCTCCCTCTCTTACATCCTCACTGCCCCTTCTCTACTGGCTCCTTCTCCTGGCCCTAAAAATATTATCAAGTCTCTCGCATCATAAAAGGCTGCACCCCCATCCAGCAAAAGCCAGTCTCCGTTGCTTCGGAGCAGCTTCTTAAAGGAGCAGTGTGTGTCTGCTCTCTCTGCTTCTTGCCCTCCGAGTCACCAAGCCCAGCAACCTCAAATGCACCAGCAAAGGCACCTGATGACCCGCCAGGTGCGCCACCCTCAGTCTTGTCTCCTCTGATCACCCCACTGTCTGGCTCTGGTGCTCACCCTCCCTCTGGAATTCTGTCTCAGCCTGGGCCCTGGTGACACCCCTCTCCCAGTTCTCAAAGACAAATCATCTCCCTGGCTGAGCCTTCCTCTATCTGCCTTGTGAGTGTCTTCTTGTCTCACTTTGAATGCTCTTTACCCAGGAGGTGTCGACCTCTCAGGTGTGATTTTAACTCCTTCCGAATGCTGGGGGCTGCCAAATTTGTATCTCTGGACACATAATCCTACCAGCTCCTGAACATCTCCACTTGCAAGTCACATAGGCCTCTTGAATTCAATGGGCCCTAAGTTCCTCCTTAATCTCTCCCTAGAACTGTGGCTCCCATCGCCCAATCAATCATCTTAGCAGGATACCTGGACAGTAACCTAGGTGCTTCCCCAGACTCTTGCCCAAACTGTGGCAGTCACAAAGTGACATTAATTTTATTTCTGAAATATTTCTTGGATTTCTCTTTCGTATTTCCACAGGCCTAGGTCAAGCCCCACTTCTGAACTCTCACCTTCAAGTTGGTTTTCTGCTTCTGTGCTCACTCTCCACTCACTTTCTACTTGGTAGCCAGTGGGATCTTTCTACACTGCAAATCTAGTCAGGCTATTTCATGCTTAAAACCTTTCCATGGCTCCCCTTTGAGGTCAAGCTAAGTAACTTTTCATGGACAATCAGATTCTTTATGATCTGTCACTCATCTGGCCTCACCCCTGCTGCTCCTTACCTCAAACTTGGCTTTCTATGTCCACACCAACAGCTCAGAGTTGCCTGAATATACCATACTTTCCATGGCCCTGCTTGTGCAGTCTGCTGTGTACAATGCCCTTCCTCTCCCTATTCCTTCTGGAAGATTCCTGTTCCTTTTTTGGGAGTTCAGCATGGGCATCACCCCTTCCAGGAAACCCCGTCACTACACCCTATGAACTCCCAGAGGGCAGGACTAAGTCTTAATCATCTCTGAACTGCCTGCACCCAACAGGGTGCCTGGCACCCAAGAGGGTACACGATGTGTTTGCCAAGTCACCGCTGTTTTGAAAGAAAGGAAATAGAGGCAGAGGAGAGATCCTGCTCTGTTTGCAGAAGGGGCTCATCTGAGGTCATTTGGTGAAAGTTGACTCTAAAGAGTGCCAGCCAGGGTATTCTTCAGGGTAAGCACTTAGTTCTCCGGACCTCCCCTACTTCCCTCCATCTAATAAACAGCCCTGCCCCTTTGCCTGGTAAATCAGTGATGAACCAGAGCCAAAATGATAACCATCTGTCAACTGGGGAGAACAGCAGCTGCCCTGTGCTTCCTGGGTACTTAGAGCAAGAACTGGCAAATTTTATGTAAGGGCCAAATGTAAGTATCTGAGGCCTTGAGGGCCGCATGGTTTCCTTTGCAACTACTCAACTCTGCTATTGCCATACAAAGGTAGCTATAGACAATATGGAAATGAACAGAACGGCTGTGTGCCAATAAAACTTTATTTACAAAAGCTGGCAATAGGCTGGGTTTGGCCCTGGGACCATAGTTTGCCAGTTCAGAGCATGATAATCAGAGCTGCCCCTTTTCCTTTGGGAAATAACAGTCGTGCAGGTCATTTACTGCAAAAAGGAGCTTGGCTGCAGTTGAGGGAGGCTGTATCTACCTGAGAAAGGGGTACTCTGTGCACAAAAGTGTTGCAGGGACTAGTGACAGCCCTGACAAAGCTGTTGTCACTCACTCCAAAGACTTCAGGAGGGTCCCTTCCCAGTTTTCTGGGTGGAATAGGAAAGGGGATAAGGGGGTGCCACATACCAGGGGTTCCTTGTTCTTTACCAGGCGGACAATCTTCACTGATTCTTCATCAAAATCCTCGTCAATATTATCAGGCAGAGGGGGGAGAACAGGGTCGAAATTTTTCTGGGCAACCGTATCATGTACCATGAGCATGGCCTGTCAGGAAAGCAAGAGAAATGAAAGGCTGGCCCAGAGCTCACAAGCGTCAGGGGGCCTTGGCTGGGCAGTGGTCTGGGGATCTTGGATTTCATGCCAGAGACAACCACCCCAGACACTGGGACTGAGGATCCCTCACTCAGAGTCTCCTTTCCTCAGTCTCAGGACTGAACACTCAGGAGACAGGCTGTGTGGGTGGGCAGGGGCTGTGGCGTGACTACCCTGAGGTGGGGGGTGGACAGCAGCTGGAGCAGCTCCCTCTCGTCGCTGTGCACGGAGGTGGCCTGCAGCTCCTCCATCACCTGTAGAGCAACGAGACAGGCGGCTGTGGGTGCTTCAAGCCAGCTGAGAGTCACCACGGAAAACCCTGCTCCCTGCACCTCAGAACCAAGGGCCCTCCCAGCAACTGCTACAGCACCCAGGGCACGTGGGACCTCAGCCACCCAGGCTGACCCTCCCAGGGAAATCACGCCAGGAATCAGAAGAGCTTGAGCAGCTCCACAGGGTAATCCTGATGGGTGCTAATTTATGAAGCCCTTACTGTGTGTCATTTGCTTTACACGGACCTTCTCACTTAACTGTCACAATGAACCAGATGTAGCGGGCACTGTTACTTTGCCATTTTACAGATGAGAATTAAATGAGAGATGAAATCTTGCCAAAGGTCACAAAGCTGGTAAGTGGCACAGCCAGGACTGAACCTGGCTTATTATCTGTGCCCTCACCACGGCACTATTTTATAAGATGAGGAAAGTGGGGCTCTGAGAGGTTGAGTGACTTGCTTGAGGTCACAGAGCTAGTAGTAGAGGCGGTGCTGTGCCTGGGAGCCTGCACTTAACATGCTCATCATATCCCATGGAGGAGAAAGGCATGGGAACTGCACCACAGGGCTGCACCCTTCCCTCAGCAGGCCATCTCCTGGGGCTAGGTGAGTTTATTCAGGAGCAATCAACAGGGACAGCTTTCCCCAAATTATGCAGCACAGAGGACAGGTCCACAAGAAATTAGGAAGCATTCCTTTACAAAATGAAAAGCCTGCGCCAGTAAACAGGGACAAACTGCAAGTCCCTTGCCCCCAGGACTTCACACTGGGCCTCCCCAGACATAAGGTCTTGTCTGACCTATTCATATTGCCAGTCATCAACAGTTTGGGAGCTGTGGAACTGATCCAAATGCTCTCATTTCACAGCTGGGGAAACAGACTTTCTCAGGAACACACAGTAAGTGGGCGTCATCGTGTCACCGTGTTCCCAAGCCCAGTCCAAGGCTCAAGAGTTCCTCTGGGCCTATTAGGAGGCCCAGGGAGGAGGAGGGGGAGGAGGAAGGGAGACACTCTTCACCTTGGAGCTCCCAAGCCCCAATGTCCCCTGGCTAAGCAATGGTGACGAGGCAAGGTGATGGAGCACTCCGGGGTGGGGAGAGGGCTGACACTGGAAGGAAAGGCCTGGGGCTTACATCCTCGGCGAGGGCCACGGCGCTGTGCAGAACCGGGGTTGGGCTTTGCCTCTCGTAATAGCGAAGCTTCTCGTGAATCTGCAAAGACAGCCGATTTCTGGCTGGGGCCTCCCAAACCAGCTGCTTAGGTTTACCCCAGACACCACACGGCCCGCCCACAGCTGTAGGGCTGCAAACTGGGTCATCCAAGGGGCAGTGTAAGAGAAAACCCTGCACAGTGGACTAGTGAAGGCCTTCCCGGGGCAGGGGGATGGCTAGGATGACCTCCACAGCCACAGCTAGCGAGGAAGGCCTCTAGGAAGCCTCACCAGAGGGGCTGAAACAGGGCTTTACCTTCATTAAGTAACTGAGGCTCTTCTCACTGAAAACATCCCTCAGGAAGCCCATCTCTTCCTTGTGGTTAGAGTCTGGTCTGAGTTGAGAGGTCAGCAGCGCCAGGGTTTCATGCAAGCCTGAGGAGAGGGTAAGGAAAGTGGAGTATAGCAAATGCAATGGTACTTCCATTGAGACCCCTGGTGGGAACCCCCAGAGGACCCTCAAACAACTCTTCAGCTTCTCGTGAACATTCCCCAGGCTCTCATTCCCAGGGCTTGGAGGCAGGGCAACTCCTGAGAGCCTGCGCTGACAGCAGCCTGCTTTCCTTCCAGCCTGGCTGCCGGGCAGGCTGGCTTTTGTCTTCAGGGCCGTGGAGGCCCAGCCCCGGGGAACGCACTCACCAGAGTCCTCGGACAGCACCGGCATGTCTGTGCTGGTCAGATCCCCAGCTCTGCCTGTGGATTCTGGGAGAAAGAGAGGGGAGGGGAGTGATGCTCCTTCAAGCATATTCATTCAACAAACAGTGATTACACATCTACTGTGTCTGTCAGTGGCCACTATAGGGACAGATGGGGATGGGAACCAATAACTATCTGCTCATTTTTTTCAGAAAGGAGAGAACTGAGATTTGCTGAGTGCCCCCAATGTGCCAAGCATCATGTCGGGGGATTTCATATGACATTTTTCTTAATCTGCAGGAATGAGTTCTGAGGAATGAATACTAATATTACCATTTTACTGATGAAGAAACAGAGGCTCGGAGGAATTCAGTAACTTGTGGGTCAAAATCGGAGCAGCCCCTGTCTGACAGTGGTTCTCCCTTCCACAGCGTCCCCTTCTCCTGTGTCCTCCTAAGAGGCCTCGATCAAGTCCCTTGCCTGTCACACCTTCAACAAGTACCTGGATGGGCCTACAAACTCCCTCCTTTCCCTCCATCCCCAAGTCCCAACCCGAAGGGAGCCTCCCCCTAGAACAGAGCATACAGAGGAGGTGGGGAAATGAGAGCCCCCTTGCAGAGGGCCCCCCAGCGTGCTCTGCAGCACGTGGTCCTCAAAAAGTCCTCCTTCAGAAGGGGACTGGGAGAGGAATGATTCATTCATTCCGAAAACATGGGGCCAGCCCCCTCTGCGTCGGAGCCCAGTGACACTAAGAAGCATAAGAATGATACCTGGCCCTCCAGCCAACGCCCCCCCCTCTAGA